CTATAGCAAACTAAAACTAAAACTAAATCAAATAAGGATCCCCAATGACTAAATCTCGTTAAAATCCTCTGTTTTCTAGAGAAAAACTCAAGATGTTTAACTTAATATCACCAAATCTACCAAGTAAAATCAACAGAGTGTGACTGAATTCCTCAAAATCCATCACATACACTACTGGAAACATATTTAATCAAATATCACCAGCTCTGGCTTAAATCAACTCATATAACAAATCTCAAATGCAAATAAAGTAAATACACAAGAAAGGAGATCAGAGCAAACCTTCAAATGGGCAGCAGCCTTGTCCTTGTCAGTGAAAACTCCAGTAGATTCCACAACAAAATCAGCACCCGNAAGGAGATCAGAGCAAACCTTCAAATGGGCAGCAGCCTTGTCCTTGTCAGTGAAAACTCCAGTAGATTCCACAACAAAATCAGCACCCGTTTCACCCCATGGGATCTCCTCAGGGTTCCTAAAAGATCACACATAAGCAAACAGTTTTAGACAAATTCTCCCAAAATTTATAGAGTAAAAAACCAAGTGTTATCATGAAAATTGTACCTGATTCCAAATACTGTGACTGATTTCTCACCAAAAAGAAGGGTCTTCTCGTCCTTGACCTTAACCTCATGATGNAAATTGTACCTGATTCCAAATACTGTGACTGATTTCTCACCAAAAAGAAGGGTCTTCTCGTCCTTGACCTTAACCTCATGATGCTTCCACTGGCCATGAACAGTGTCATACTTGAACATATATGTCTGCACACATAGAATTAACGGAGCTCATTCATAGGCAACAACAACAGGTGGTGCGTTGAGGACGAAGAAGCTGGTCTCGTCTTTATTATTGCTTCTTCTTCTGAATCTCCTGCTCTTGCACTCACGGACAGAGTAGAACCCATAAACTTTCGAAAGAGAGAGAGTGTAGTGAGTGGGTAGGGGACAGTTTCGAGGTGTGAACAGCGAAGAAGGCGAACCATGGACCGTAATTTGGAGCTGTAATTGGGAGAGACTGTGTGTGTGTGAGAGAGAGAGACTGGGAGTGTGTTAGTTTTGTGAGGAAGAGATAGAATTTCACAGTTTTATTTTTAGTGGAAAATTTTTACCCAAAAAACTTATTCAAACGGTGGCGTTTTCGACTAACAGCAAACTGTGCTGTTGTTATGTAACAGCAGAGGAGCCGTGCCCCACAATCAATATGTATAACTAAAACTAATCTTAAAAAATTTGTGGGTTAATTACACCGGAGGTTCCATAAGTATGAATTTTGTCTTATTTTGGTCCTTAATATTTTAAGTATATCACTTTAATCTCTGAAATATTATATATATTTTTATATGATCTCACGAGTAAACATCATCCAATTACTGACAATTGCTTATTTGTAAGCTTATTATGTAACATTTAAATATGAAAAAAAAATAATTTTAAAATTTTTAACTAAATTTTGGTCAAATAATTACCCAAATACACAGTTTTGAGCATGAGATATCTAAATTTTGGTCCAAAACTACAAATATTACAATTTTTATGTCAAGAGCTATCTAAATTATTTTTTGTTCACATTTAGGTATCACATGACAAGTTTATAATCAAAAATCATTAATAATTTGGATGTTGTCTATTTGAGCACTACATAAAAATATATTCAATACTTCATGAACCAAAATGAGACAAATTTTATACTTTAAAGACCTCTAGTAAAATTAACCAAAAATCTGCAAAAAAAAAAAAAA